AGGTTTAGGGTACTGTTTTCGTATAGGTTTAGGGTACTGTTTTCGTATAGGTTTAGGGTACTGTTTCGTATAGGTTTAGGGTACTGTTTTCGTATTGGTTTAGGGTACTGTTTTCGTATAGGTTTAGGGTACTGTTTTCTATAGGTTTAGGGTACTGTTTTCGTATAGGTTTAAGGTACTGTTTTCATATAGGTTTAGGGTACTGTTTTCGTATAAGTTTAGGGTACTGTTTCCTATAGGTTTAGGGTACTGTTTTCGTATTGGTTTAGGGTACTGTTTTCATATAGGTTTAGGGTACTGTTTTCTATAGGTTTAGGGTACTGTTTTCGTATAAGTTTAAGGTACTGTTTTCGTATAGGTTTAGGGTACTGTTTCCTATAGGTTTAGCGTACTGTTTTCGTATTGGTTTAGGGTACTGTTTTCGTATAGGTTTATGGTACTGTTTTCGTATAGGTTTAGGGTACTGTTTCCTATAGGTTTAGGGGACTGTTTTCGTATTGGTTTAGGGTACTGTTTTCGTATAGGTTTATGGTACTGTTTTCGTATAGGTTTAGGGTACTGTTTTGGGGTACTGTTTTCGTATAGGTTTAGGGTACTGTTTTCGTATAGGTTTAGGGTACTGTTAAATAGTTAAGGTTGTAATTGTTCTCCGACTGTGATGATTTGGATTGCAAAGAAACACCTTCATTATATGTCACTAAAAATAGTGTAAGCAATGGTGCACATAGATATATCCCACTTTTTTTTTAACTATGGATGGACAGATGGATGCACTGACAAAGCGCTTACTATATAGGGGGGGGGATTAATATTTCCAACATTGTGATACACAAAAACATTATATTGAAATTTACTGTTGCTTAATATTGAGGCAGTAGATTTGAGTTCATAGAATGAAGCCAGAAGGAAAGATAAAAAAATTAACAAAATCACCTAAGTCAGCATTCCTCATCGCCTTTAAGCTAGAAAGTTGTAAGGGTTGGGCACATATCTGATATCAATAAAAAGGAGGATCCTGAAAATTTTAGTGCAACAAGTAAAAGTTTTTTCCTGAATGGTCGGGTGATTTACTCAGTGTATCAATATACTCCTGAACTTTATATTTCAAGTACAATGACATTAAACTCAAAACTAATTGAGTATTTGATGCAGCTGAGATCAAACTGGGAAGAAAAGGTTGGAAAGAGGTTTGTGAGACAATACAAGATGGTTTTAATTTGACGTTATCAATTTTCAATAAATAGCATCATCTAAATAGGGTCGGCCATCACTGACTCGTGTAGAGGATATCGTGAGCACATACAATGGTGGTCTGGGAGTCTGATGGTGGCCTTCCTAAAGTAATGACACGTTTTATTCTCCTGTTTAATTGTCTGTAAAATTGGACCCAAAAACAGACAGCTCCTCATCATATCAAAGCGTCTTCATCGTATTACAGTCAAGAATTAAAGCAACTCAATGAGGAAAATGAAACTTAAAGAAAATTATAATATCCTGAATTATTTGGATTTCTCATGATATTTGGATTAAAATCTCAATTTTCCCCCCAAATCAATACAATGTCCTATTGAAACTTCAAATGTAATGTGATTGAATTTTCTAATTCCTTTTTTATTTGACTTGAGTAAGATTCACAACTGCCTCAGTATCACAATGGTTTCTATTCTCCCCTGACATGGCTTGGTGATCAGCTCCATGCTAACGGTTTCCCAGGCAAGCAAACACAGCTCACCTTCCTTTACAACTGTGGCTACTTGTCTTCTCACAGATAAAAAGATACATGTATACAGTTGAACTAGGCGACACATTTTCTTTATCCGGATATTCTGACAAATCTGTATTATGTGGTGGTGTTAGCCATAAGGATAGGGTGGGAAGGTCCCTTTTACACCCGTGATTAGTTGGGTTCCTATCCGACCTCTATCTGACCTTGTACTCATTGTAATTACCCATGTAGACCTGTCTGATCTATGGTTAAATCTAATATCTGTCAATAGGGCTTGACTTTTAATCCATGTCATTCTTCCTTACCCCCACCCTCAGACCCCTGTTTCTAATCGTTGAGACAAGTCCGGTGTTCAGGGGCAGTCGGTACAAACACCACCCAAACATCAAACATGGAACAAAATACTCCTACGATTTTTGGACAATCTTGTTTTTGATTCATCAGAATATTTGATGAGAAATTAATAACTGATTTGCATTGATATTAGGTGGACCCGTTCTTTGATATGGTGAAATTAAAAGGTGGGGATAGACAGCAGTTGTGATAGTCCTGACTCCTGATGGAAATGGCAGGTGAGAGGATAAGGGCCTGTCCATCAACCTATCCTTACACTGACAAGTCCACACTAGTTGGTCAAGCAACGGAACAATGCTTGCTGACCTGTGTTACAGAATGTGATGGGACCATATTCAAAGTCACTTCAGATGGTAATTCGTAACCGAATGAATTTAAACTGATTTATTCCTAATTTTGTAAATGAGTAGGAGAATTTTGATTACTTTTATCAAGTTTGGACTATTATTTTTAATATTTTTGTACATAAATGGGAGATTTTGATTACTTTTATCAAGTTTGGACTATTATTTTTAATATTTTTGTACATAAATGGGAGATTTTGATTACTTTTATTAAGTTTGGATTATTATTTTTATATATTTTCAAATAAATTTTATTGGTCATCACAATCTGGATTATATCCAGTGAAATTTTTACAACCAATTATAATTGTGGTTTGTCTTTCTTCACTTCTGTCCAAAAGTGAGATCTCAACCTCAGCTTTCACATAAATTTAGTTTACACTAATGGTTTATTCATATAAAATCAACTGCATTATACATACACATAGACTTAAGTGTGATTCAAACCGTCGGAATATCTAATGCATTTCCACAGCATTGTCGGGCATTAAAACTTTTACACCTAAACAGCCGAAGAGCTTACTAACATTATTTGTCTGCTAATTTTTGTTGAAGAAAAGTGGGAGAGGTATGTTGCGTAAGGAGGATAGGAGGAATGTGAGTTTACGACAGACATGTACATTGATATGCTGGGCCTCCAATGCAGGTGATAGATGCCGTTCCTTTAATAGAGTCTGACAAATGTTTGTCACCAGTTTAACTCCAATTAAATCGTACTGTAAGTGCCACGTCTACCTGTAACCTTTCAGCTGCCAACTTTTTTTTCACATGCAACGGGAGTATTTTACCTATATACACTGTGTACGTAGATGTCCATTCTGGTCATTTCAGGTGTCATATAGCAACACAAGCTGACTTAATGCCGGTGTGATCTCCGACAGATAACTTGTTACTGTCAATTCTTACACCAACTTTCACATCATTAGGCAGGTTTCCATGTACTTTGTTTAGAGGAACACATCTAACCACAGAGTTCACCTGGATTTTTGTTTAAGGTCGTGACCTTTGATAGATGATGCCATACCACACATGGGCTGGCGGTGAGGTTGTACAGGTAAACGTGGGGACAAGTTACAGGTAAATATGTAACATTTATCTCACATACTTACAAAATATTTGTTTAAATAAATACCTATGATCCTAAACCAAATAAAACTGGATTGTGAGAGAGTGTCAAGGGACTCAACATATCCCAGCCGAGTGTGAGTTTCACTGTTAACTTCTACTGAAGGGCCAGTCTAACACTACACTAAAAACATATCCCAGCCGAGTGTCAGTTTCACTGTTAACCTCTACTGAAGGGCCAGTCTAACACTACACTAACAACATATCCCAGCCGAGTGTCAGTTTCACTGTTAACCTCTACTGAAGGACCAGTCTAACACTAGACTAACAACATATCCCAACAAAGAAGTTTCAAACAAGTATAAGTGATCTCAAACAAGTTTTCTATACATATAAAAAGGTTCTCTGACGTGTTCTATTATGTATATACAAAATATGTAATGGTTTCCTGTTGAAATCCATATATATTTCATAAGTATAGCAATTATCGATATTTTTCACAAGTGTAAATCATGAGTGAAAATATCAGTACCTCTTGCAGTAGGAGTGAAATATATATATATGCAAAGAAACCATCAAATGTTCTACTTGTAACAGGACAGGAAAAATTCACGGCCAGACTGGGGTTCGAACCCGGACCTTCCAAACTCTAGATGAACGCTATACCAATTGAGCTATCTGGTCACAGACGATCAAACCAGTCCAGTTCCGGTACATATTCATTAATTTCTAAGAAATATAATGACTTGAATATTACTGCATCAAAAATGTTCTCAAGTTATATTTAGCAGAGTAATATTTGTCCCCAGAACCTCACCCTCATGTGCAAATTTGAATAGGCTTCTCAGTATAATTCTACCATTTTCTTCTATTATCTGGATAGACTCAAGTACAAAAGTGTTACCAACGGTGTAGTGAAGTTTAAAACATTGGTGTACTGAGCAATGGTGTAGTGAAGTTTAATACATTGGTGTACTGAGCAATGGTGTAGTGAAGTTTAGTACATTGGTGTACTGAGCAATGGTGTACCAAAACCACCACTTATGCTACCATGTCTTTATTTTACCTCACCTAAAATTCTGCAATCTTACAAGAATTCCAAAGGAGTGGATGTGTCCGTGTGTGTGCCCAGGCAACTCTAACGAGATGATGAAGACGGGATCTATTTATATTAACAGTGACTTCGATCAACCCAAGGGATGTTGAATTATCATACTGAAACCTTGTTTCATATTTTCAATTTATAGTAAAGGAGACCTTGACCTTTGACCTTCGGACCTGAAAAGCAATCCCAAGTAAGCACTTTAAGTATGGAAGCACTGTATGAAGTTTGAGTTCAATCAATCCAAGGGAACTTAAGTAATTGCACGGAAACCTTGTTTCAGACGACGCAAGGGCGATGCAGACGACACAAAAAGGAGTGAATAGAACGTACCATTTTACAGCATTCTGATTGGTTAATACTTGAAGTTATATCATCACATGACTTCATTATAAAAAACAAGACTTACATTTTGTCTCATCTCCTTCTGTAGTTTGAGTGAGGACCCAAACTCGCAGAGTTCCTTCACACCCTCTGTAGCAGGCTGTCCATAGTCCCAAATCGAGTAATCGGTGGAATGACTGGCGCCAACCAACCGTGACCAGTGCATCAAGACTAACTCCTCTGAAATACAATTATTATATCGTCAACAAATGTAAAGTTGTTTCAGTGTATACAGCTGCAAATGAAGCCATGCTATCAACAGATATAATTGTCTTTAACATAATTATGTATGCAAAAACATTCATTTTAAATACTGCTTGATGACGTTCCTATTGCATTATGTTCAAAATGAAAACAAATTGTTGCATTCCCAAATGGCGTCAGAAAGTGTTAAGTAATAGTTCCTTAATTCTATCACATTGGGTCATAGCATAAACCTTCAGCAAGTCTGTAAACCACACACCCAAACCCTGTAGCATCATTTCCCAAGTTCTTTATGAAGAAAATTGTTTTTGTAAATATCAACAATACTAAGTTCTGCCACAAACAAAAAATTAATATCAGTAACAACATTTTTGGCAAAGACTGAGTATATAATAAAATGGTGTACAGACTGTATTCAGTAAAATAGCACATACTCGGTAAGGACATTCATCAAAGCTACTACGTTTGTATTATCATTAACAGTCTACTTAAGTGAGTTTGACATTTACTCACAGGACACATAATAAAGCACCCCCGCGACAATCACAGCTCCATAGCAAAAACTTCATCATTATATCAGGATTGATAAAGGGCTGGTTAAAACATGTGTGTATTTGTGTATGATACCCGAGTCAGGACACTGCCTTGTCATTCTCATCCAGCCATCCCGAAGATTTCACATACAGAAACCGGAGTCGTTCAGAAACCCAATCCTTTACAACACTGCAGCTATATTGTGGCTCAAGTTAATATCAAATGTTCATATCAGGTTTCATAATATCCCTCAAATTTAAGCAAACATCGTTTTTATGAAAGGATATATGGAACAATCTAATTCCCTTGTTATCTTAACTTAAATCTAGTGCTGACAGTTATTTTGATCCGGGTAGATGATAAGCTGGAGCGACATGATGGATACGTGAGAAGGACACTGTCATAACCACGGTTACTCTAAAACCATTTACAAACTTGGCAGGAACATCACACACATTATATGGAATTTTAGTAGTTATTAATAAAATTATCATATTTTAAATTCACAAAATGAGATTTGAGTTGCTAGAAGGTGCAGCGCCCTGGGTAGAGTGAGATACCGCTGTTAAAATATCTTAGGAAATATAGGTAGAACAAGAAAAACTGAATATCTTATTTCCATTTTGTATTAAGATAGATGAAGTAGATCAATTTTCTCAATGTCTTCTTTGCAGAGGGTTGAACACACAGAACACAATACCAGTTTCAGCAGGTCACTCGTATTAACTCATTCACCCCTGAAGACACATTTGAACTCTTCCAACGCAAAGGTTGGAATAGTCCATTATGACATTTCAGGGGTGAATGAGTTAACTGTCTCACAGCTAGGTCATACAATGGCATATAGCAGCTCCTCCCTCCCCCAACAAATCAGTAAACCTGTGTAATGTGATCAAGTAAACTAAGGAAAGATACCTAGTATCCACTGTATCTCTGTTGACAGGAATTCCACACGTTGGTCCTACGGGAACAACTGATATCATTTTACATTTAATATCAGCTCAGTATCAGAAGAAACAGTGCACAGAAACTTGATTTATTTCCATCTATTTATCTGTAGCATTACGAAGAAATTCCATTCAACTTTTGTTTACCAAAACGAACAAAAAGCTGAAAAGTTTTGTAGAAGAAAATGAATGAAGTGTAGCGAGGGATGGACTATGTCAGGAGTGTGTTTATAATGCTACCCAAGGCAGGAAAACCCAACCTCTAAATATCTAATGTTTTAAACAAGTGGAAAGATCTTCAGTTATACTTGAAGTCCAATCTATCAGACTACTGCTGCAGGTATTACAAAAACATGGGCCATTCCATGGAAATATCTCAAAGTTGTCAACAAATAGGGCTGGAAGTCTGCAATATTATGTACTTCCTGTCATTCAGGAAAACCCAACCTCTAGATAGATCTTCAGTTATACTTGAAGTCCAATCTATCAGACTATCCTGCTGCAGGTATTACAAAACCATGGACCATTCCATGGAAATATCTCAAAGTTGTCAACAAATAGGGTTGGAAGTCTGCAATATTATGTACTTCCTGTCCCTCAGGAAAAGGAAACCAAGAATGTCTCCATTCCCAAAGTAAATGATGGCTTTTAAAAGGTCATTCATAAACACCTACACAAGAAATTTGTAATGTGCCATGAAACTGGCATCAACTCTATTTCTACCAAGCCAAAATCTGACAGACCTCTTACCATTCACGTGAACTGTTTGATAAGGTTTTGCAAAATTTACCATAAAATGTAATTTCTGAATTTTATAGAAAAAAAAGAATGCTATCACAGGAAACTTTTTTCTTTGAAAAACAAATGTTCAACAGAAAACTGAAACTGAATGTCCATAAGTAAAACAAAACCGTTTATGGTTAATCCATAGCTGGTGACGGGTGACATTCATAGCCTCCTCCTCCTCCTTATACATGCCATATATCTCATCACTAACACTGTCAAGATAATCAATTGTAAATGTTCTGTTCATATGTTTCAGATTATTCAACCTTTATCTTGACAACTACTCCTTGCACACTCTAGGTACTCTACACATTTATCATATTTAGCACAAACCACAGGGTGCTTTAACGTCGCATTGCACAGAAATGACCTTCGAAAAGCATCCAAGAGGAAAACGTACAGATTGTGATCATTGTGAGTGTATTTCATAAAGATATCAAATTATATACAGTAAAAGTCCAATTTAGTCGTTGAATGACTGGCTTTTACAAATAGTAAGTTATCCAAGCACATTATAACTCTGTTGTATTGGTCACCTTAAATGACCCTTAAATTACTAGACAGGTTTGAAAACAGCAGACGACACTCACGGAAAACTGGCGGGCACATTCACAGGACGCCCAATGACTTCAACCATTATACCCAGGGGATCTCTCCCTGATTCTTCACCCATCATTAAATGTAATTAATGATACAAAAACATCAATATCTCAACCAGACAAATTTTACACCCAGCAAACAGTTTGAATGATTTTTTAAATCGGTGGAAATGGAAGTAGACAGATCTGCTTTGGTATGACACTGACCCTGGTATTAGGCTCTGTACTCACCCTACAACTTAAAAGTCTACTGTACACTAACATGCATGTCTATTCAATCCACTCTCTAAACCATAAGCTTTCCGCCGTAATACATTAATGATCAAACGTCTTTGGTATATTTAAATTTGACCTTTGTAGCTTGTTATTTGAAATCAAGATATTCTTTTACCAAAATTATAAGTAATTTGTAATCTATTTTCAACATCAAACATATTTTGTTTTCAATTGTTTAAAAAAAAATATTCACTAAATAAATAGGGTTTATTCATTCATCTACATCTATGTCTGCAGCATAAATATAACTTGTTTTTTGAGGTGTTTCAATTGAACATTCACTTTTTCAATTACATAATGATCTATACTCTGGATGAAATACAAAACTTGATTCAGAAGTTGCCGACAATGTTAGATACATCTGTCTCCTACACATCTAGTCAAGGCAATGGCATCTTGAAGTGTATAACCCCGTTAATTGAAAAGTTATGCCAACTAAAGTCTAAATATTCACCAATTTTAAGTTTAGTTGTACTTTGCTGTTGATAGGAACAATTCGGTCAGGCTATATCCATCCTAAGTAAAACTTTGCCAACTAAAATCTTAAATGGAGACTTGCGCGTACTTTTCAGTTTTGATATATGTCTGATAACAACCAGAATTGTGTCATGCTAGAAACATTTTGCAGATTTTAATTAACCTAATATTTCACTCACTAAATATTGTCAAGATGTCTGTTTTGTAGCGAGCTTTCATCCTCTGACATTATCATTTTGAGAATCTCCTGGCTTTGGCCAGACTTTGATTAATAACTTTTCTTAAGTTGTATATCAATTTATCTGCCATTTTTTGTGTGAGAGCAAAGCACTGTAAGGAGGATGGGGTAGTTCGCTATAAAAAAATCTTCTTTTTGTCTGCTTCATTATTTACGAGGTAATAGTAATTTGACTTTAGTGGTATTGGCTCTCCTGTCCTTATAGTCTGTACATGTGTCAGCCATCTCGGGTCATCATGCACACCACATTACCATTAACAGAAGTGTCGGGGTTACTATATACAGCCAACAAACTGTGGAGCCATCTTGGCTGAGACAGCCAGAGGAAGCTTTTTGTCGGGGCTTTATAACATTAACACAGATTTTCAAAAATAACATCTAACAATGTTTTGAGCTATTTTGTACTGCCAGAATAGGATACATGATGATCATCAATTTCTATCTTATTCTTTAGATAAGTATGCTTACCTGATCAAAAGTGAAAGCATTTAACAGCTTAGATACCCAACATATGTCAAACTCAATGTGGAAAAATTCCAATACATATCTTACAAAAATCCTGCCTAAAGGGCTCAGTGTTGAGTCATGAAATACCTTTCAAATCACCAAGGTATTTTATTGTACACCTAGTGACCTTGATGGTTGACCTTGATACACTGCATCATGTCATCATCAACTATCCAGGATGAGCAGTAGTGTTACAGAGGAAGTAGCTGTCACCGACATTACCATTTGTGGCCCTGACAGATAGACATCCTTTACGGGCAGCAGTGAGTCCCTACACTTACTCCTATCATCCATTGTCTGTACTATCATGGGGAACTGAAGTTTGAAGCTTGACCTTATTTAGAATCCTGAATATGTTTTATACCATTTGATCTGTCTTGATATTTCAGCAAATGAAAGTTCAGCTTTTGGTATTGCAATATTTCTCACTATCTGACTCACTGACCTTGACCTAATGAAACGTTTTGAAATTCTAAGTATTCCATTTACTGTCTTTTCAATAACACAGTTAAATGAATTTATTTTCTGACAAATGGACTACAGTTTGATTTGGTTTAACAGTATCTACTTCCTTTTACTTCAGATTGTCAGGTTTCCAGTGGTTATTTCATGGTAAGTATGTTTACAGGAGTTTTTTTCTGCCCTCCCATGACCTTTGACATGTAGAACTCCCTAATTAAGGTAGTAGCCCCTGCTTGGGGTGTCTGCTGTCAGCTGTGTAGCACTAACAAGGCCTTACCGACAGTACAGGACAGGTAGACAGACACCCCTGTTGTCCCTAGCTACCAGACCCAGGGCTCTCTACTGTACAGATAACCACACCAGCAGCTGGCCGTTTTTACTATGTTGCACCAGCTTTGAAGTTATTCTGGTTACACTAAAACTCCTTGCTATTGTTTTTTTCTGTATTATTTATAGATTCTTTGATAAGACAGAACTGCTAGAAATGTTTTAGGAACTCTAGTTAGGATTATGGCTTGGCCAGGCTGATTGGGTAAGCTGGCATAATAAACAAACTTTATCTAATGTTGGAGGATAACAAGGAACTTCAGAACTTGTGACCTTTATAAGAGAGAAAGGTGACCTTGACAATATAAACTACACTGTTAGTGTTTTTCCTACCCCAATTTTACAACAGCCTGTCCCAACATGAATTGGAAAAATATTTGCATTATTTTAATGAAATTGGAAAGATATTCATAATTTTTCTTCATTTTGGAAAAGCAACCTAGCTGTATTTGGCTGTTAAACTAAGCAAAAATAGTCACCGATTGTAAACATCATATGAATTTGGATTCAAAACAAATTTGCATGAAATTGAGCACAATGGTCTCGTAAAAGATTTGATGTCATCAGGAATAGGAATGTACCACAATTCTATTATATTCTGTACAATGTAATACCAAGTCCTTGGCCTTTAGATTACACACGTGACCTCATTATGACCTTGCTCCAGCCTTACCTTCCTCTTCAGGGAACCCTTTAGGATGTGTCTGTCGGGACCAAAGTCCCTTGAAGTGAAGATTGTACCTCGCCCCTCCACAGGCACAGCAGCTATCACCGTCCTGTCCAGTTCCATCGCCTTGGGGAGCTGTTTCCTCTGTAGGGAAGGGAAACAATAGCTAATATAGCTTAATATCTTAATATATTTTCATTGCTCTATACATCGATCTATCTTTAATATTGTACGCACGATGTGAATAATTTTTACTTTGTATGAAAAACTGTCAAACTATTTGGAATTTCTGTTGCGGAAACATTGTTAAAAAGATTGTTGTATACGGTATACATAGAGAAAACATGAGTTCAGGGTTTAATACATTTTTAACTACCATGAAAAAATAATAAGCCGACACAATGAAACTATGTAAAACAAAATGGGGACTTTCATAAGTAAGGCCACAATAAAACCTATATATATTTCTGTAAATGAGATAATTTCTCTACGGTTTTTTTTCCACAACTGTTATGATGCCTATCTAAATAAATCTTATACTTCTGATTTAGATGGCCAACACACAGCAAGAATATGACGGAAGCAAAAAGACTATTTACTAATCGGCTGTTACCATCAAATCAGACTTCTGACATACACAAAACAAACAATTTTGTTTCCACCTGGATACAATCTCATCGGAGACAAAACAATTACTTCCTACCTTTATCTCCGCAAATAACAATTACGAGGACTTCCTCTAAGTCCTGTTTTTATGATGTACAATATTTTTTTATGATGTAAAAACAGAACAGACTGATTGTTTGATCTTAACATCAACTATTTGGTATTCATTTTCATCTCAATTAACATTTTCAGCTTTCCTTTTAGAAACAAAGTCCAAGTATCAAGAGTAAAACGGTGCAGAACAAACCAAACTGAAACAGTTTCCAGATTTCTCGGATAAGTGTGGACTACCTGCTTTTGTTGGCGGGACATGAAAGGCCTCCATTTGTGTGTAATGAGGGGCACAATGCCTGGGAGATAATGAATGGCCGTCTCACATGAGGTATTTATATCCCTAACAGCTGTAGGCTTTCCGTACCAGATAACTCTCCTCATGGTACCTTACTCCCAAACCCTCCCAGCCATCTTCCTCATACATTTAGATTATTTTTTTAATTATTTGTATTTTTAGATTTCTCACACGTGTATCACTACAATTGTATAACTGTAATTGCCTTTCTTGCCATATGAAAATAAAAGAGTGATAAAATTTATTGACACATCTCGTTTCTGTTTCAAATTAGTTACAATTGACAAATGACACCTTAAGCTTTCACTAAAAAAATAACTTTTACAGAACTATAAACCTCTAACACCTTACATGTAGGTCATATTTTCTTTTACATGTGAAAATACCTTTTCGCAGGTCATTTTTTATTATATGTGAATCGTTTAAAGTCATATCAAAATCACTAATAACAAAAACAACAATGGCTTTTCAATCAAGTAAGTCTGGCTTCAGCATTATGTTAATAGGTCTAGTGTTAGAATGGTGAAGTTAAATATTGTTAATTACCAGCTGTAGTGGTAAAAGTACAGGAGATACCAAAATATATCAAAAACTATGCAAGTCAAAGGGTCATTTTACAGGTGTTACCTGTATCATGATGGTCAGTTGACAGGCCAGACCTTTAGGCATACCTTAAATGACCTTGTAGAAATATGATGCAGTACCATGGTTTTGTGGCATTTCTTTTCACAAACAGTAGAAGTTGAGTACTTAACAAAAAACTGATTACCATGCAATAATTTATAATGTAAAAACTAGCATTTACTGCCAAATTTATTTTCCATAGATTCTGAGACTGAGTGTGTTCAGACATTTACTGCAGTTTACATACAGTGCTGACAGGAAACCCTTACTGTTGCTGAAATATCATTACTAAACATATTCTTAGCAAATAAACTTCAATTTCTCACACAAAATTCAAAATAACACCAAAATATTCAGCCCCAAAACTGCAATATTATCTTAGACAGTTATGAACTTCTAAACAGACTTCACACGCTCAGGTTTCTAATGTTAGACCTGTTATTGTCATGCCGGTTTTTTTTGGTAACCAATGTAAACATAGAAATGTCTGATTTTGTGACAGATAAAGTTTGTAAAGGCGATGCTGAAAATGTACTTAACTGGGTGTTTTTTTCTTGTAACCTGAACATAAAATGCTCTGAAGGTTAAACTATAGACATCCTGCAGTCTATCATTAATGTTTCTATGATCTTCATGTTTTTCCCTTTGATGGAAAAAGTTTAAGTGTGTGAAATTTTGAAAATGATGAGAGATTTAATAGGTAAAACTTTGTAATGGGTTACAAACGAGTGGGAAAGTGTTAGAAGTGTGAAGCTTGATGATGCTGCTAACTTACTCCCATCACATGTATTGAAGATGAGGTTGATGATGAGATTTACTTACTCGTACACATAATGAGCTACTGCTTCTCATCGCACATATTCATTATTGAGGGTGACCACAAATATTGACTCTAGATCTCATCACACATAAATCATAATTGCGGATATTTGCGTATACTGACTCCCATTACACATATTCGTTATTGAAGGTGACCATGAATTACTGACCCTCTAAAAACATACAAACGATGAGGTTACTTACCCTCTTCACACATTTCGATGGTGAGGTTTCCGTCATCCTTGTACCACGTATTAGATTTCTCTATGACAGCCGTTCTGTAAAACATTAAAAACAGGTCTGGTTTAGTCATAATGTAAGAGGTGTCAGAACTAGCTGGCACGGAGACAGAGACTGCCAATCTCAGCACCATTGACTGCCAATCTCAGCACCATTGATTGCTAATCTCAGCACCATTGACTGCCAATCTCAGCACCATTGACTACTAAGCTCAGCACCATTGCACTATTTACATTTACACTGGCACCTTCTGGTTGTATGTATGACGGATCACTTTTCTTCCTAACCATCGTTTTTAAACACCAACCAAATGCTTACACAGTTACAGGTTCCAAGTGGTTGACCTTGAAAGTCAGGCATTATTTTACTAAATAAAAATTTGCTTGATAATGAATGGAATAGAAATAATTTCACGTGCCAATATTTAAAAAAAAAATTGGCTTGATTTTGACATAATGTTGATCCTAACACTAAAAAGTCTACTGCATAAGTAGAAATTCAGAATATCAGTTTACACAAAGTAACTATAGTAACTATAATAACAGCTGTTATATCTTACATAAACCATACAATGGATATTAAAAAGTATGTTTTGTCAGATCGAATAGAATTCCTTTTCCTTTTTCCAATTTCCTTCCAGGATTCTTCCTTAAACCTTATGAATCTGTTTTTTATGCAATACTTATCAATAAATAAATACACCATTGGAAAACTTTTCCTTCCTTGTTTTTACCCTAGTAGTGCAATTAATTGTTTTCCATCTATTTCAGGAGCGAAAAAGTGAAACTTCAAACTGTCTGTAAAGTTAACTGTTCACGCCTGACCTAGCTGCCATTTTGGTAGCTGTAAATTACCCATAAACCCTCACATGTTTTGACCTCCCAATCACAGGTGACATGTATGAATACCTTTTACATCCAAACGATCGTGAATGAAACTGTAATGAAGTTTCTGTCAATTTTATTGTCCTAAAAACTTAACACACTAGAAGAGGATGAACTTTTACGAAAATTACCAGGTAGATTGTCCGTTACCTATAGTTAATTTATTCTGCACTCAATATCTGCCTCCCTACAGGGTTGTAAAGTGACACACATTATACAAACTCTCTCCAATCTGCAATGGTGTATACTGTATTATGGAAAACGTTATGTTTTTGTAAACTGATGACAGACTCGTGATTGAGAGGGTCCTATATTGTTTGTCACTCCCAGTTCTTCTACATTTGATCGGTGTTGTAACAAACAAGGAAATCTAGAATATCAGCTCTGGAGGCCAATACATTGTTATCTTAAAATGAATATAGTATTTATCTGGATGTCAATACAGTGATTATCTGGAGGTCAATGCATTATTTATCTGGAGGTCAATACAGTGATTAGTGTTTATCTTGAGGTCAATGCAATATTTATTAGGAGACCAATACACTATTTATCTGGAGGTCAATACAGTGTTAATCTGGGGGTTAATACAGTGATAATCTGGAGGTCAATACAGTGATTATCTGGAGGTTAGTACAGTGTTTATCTGGAGGTCAATACAGTGATTATCTGGGGGTTAATACAGTCTGTATCTGGCGGTCAATATACTATTTATCTGGAGGTCAATACAGTGTTTATCTGGGGGTTATTACAGTGATAATCTGGAGGTCAATACAGTGATTATCTGGAGGTTAGTACAGTGTTTATCTGGGGGTTAATACAGTGATAATCTGGAGGTCAATACAGTTTTTATCTGGAGGTCAATACAGTGATTATCTGGGGGTTAATACAGTTTGTATCTGGCGGTCAATAGACTATTTATCTGGAGGTCAATACAGTGTTTATCTGGGGGTTAATACAGTGATAATCTGGAGGTCAATACAGTGATTATCTGGAGGTTAGTACAGTGTTTATCTGGGGGTTAATACAGTGATAATCTGGAGGTCAATAGTGTTTAATTGAAGGTCAATACATTGTTTATTTTGACATAAATACAGTTTTTATCTGGAGGTTATTGTCCCCAAATGTAGAATAATTCATTTCATGATTGCCCTGTCATGGCCTCAACCACACTAAAATACATTGTATATCTGGATAGACATGAAGAAATTTGACTCTAAAAGAAATGAAAAGCTTGGTTCTCACTGGTCTTTATCCCTACAGACGGCAAGCTGTGTGAGAGTACAAACACAACCATGTAGGCCTATAGTTTTTCAATGACCATCACAAACGTTAAAATGAGGGTGAAAGTAGCCAGTACACTTTGTATTTCAGCTAGTCCTACTTTATAATGGCCCACTTCTAAATCACAACAATGGACATTGGTCATCATACTAGAAGACTATATTTGCCTTCATTGTGGAGAGTTCTAAATCTTTATCTGTTTGTACTTGAAGCTTACAAAGAGATAGATAATGCTCCTCAAGTAGACCTACCTGTCTTACTATTACACAACTAAACCTTTAACATCAAAATCATTTAACACATGTGGTCAATAGGTTCTTATCATTTTAATGAATAAAAACTTGTCTGTATTATAAATATAAGTATCACTGAAATGATCATATAATAATCTTATTCACATCATTCAAAACTGGTCTATAGATTATTGCATTTTAAAGGAAACTATATCTTCCTACACAAACCACGAAGGCTAAAATAAAAATCTATTTTACAATAATCTTTGTTAAAGTCTGATATAATGACACACAGAATGACATATATATGCCAATTTCTGACTGCTAATTTTCATTTGTATCATATTTATAACATTCAGCTAATGTTTCAATGAAATGTGTCACTATTTTAAAGCTAGTAATTATCTGATTGTTTTATAAGTGCCTGAGGTTCGATGGCCGATAAAACCATCTACTTAAGAAAGAGGGAAAACTGCAAGTATGATAGTGTTACCTACCTCAGATAACACATTCCCTTTTTATACATCTATGCAGTCAGTGGTATTAAAAGCTAACCTCCCTGTAGTTTTAAATCAAACCCCCTCCTTGACATATTAAATTATGGCCTATCTAAATTCTGATCAATTTCTTAGCCTCCCGACATAAATTCTCATCCCTATCAAGTAGTTCTCACCTAAATCAGTTTCTACTTTCACTTTGTTCTTAATCTCCGCTGGGGGTAAATTACCAGTAGATGTAGATGTCCTCTAGTTTATGTAGTGAAACAGTTCCACTGCCCGTTATATCTACACTGGCAAACCCCTGGCATCAACAATCTAGCAACATTTCATTTCAACTTCCTCTTCAAAATCTATATCTGAGGTAAATATACTACAATTCTCACAACATGTTAAATGTCATGATACCATTATATACAATAAGATATTGAAAACCTATTAAGTAATGCAATTAACACTTCATAATAAAATTACAAAACAAAAATAATATCATGCTGAAAATTATCAGTATTAAAAATATTCTGAAAATTTTCAATATTAATATTCAATCCATTTTCAGCATTACTGTAAATGTTCTATCAAACCTTGATGATATCTACCGTACAGTAACACATGCTTTTTCTATCTCCCACTCTGATCCACGTGGAGGTTACACAGAAATACAAGTATAATTTCTCTACAGTTGTTTAATTTTCCCATCAAGAACTAAAACTGACAAAGCAATTTGTGCAACTGCTCACTTCCTTTGGCATCCGTCATTTTTTGTTTTTATTTTTGTGTTATTGGTATCTCCTGCCTGTAGAAACATTCCATCCCATTCCTAATGAGAAGAGTTTTCTTAAATAAATCTTGTTTTCATCCCAAAATATTTAAACAACAGGTGACTTAACATAAAACAAACACTTTTAGCTAGATTGCACCAGACTCTTCAGCAAACATAGGCTTTTAACTGGCCTGAATCAGATTCTACAGCAAACATAGGCTATCAACTGGCCTGAACCAATCTCTACAGCAAACATAGGCTATTAACTGGATTGAAACAGACTCTACAGCAAACATAGGCTATTAACTGGCCTGAGACAGACTCTACAGCAAACATAAGCTATCAACTGGCCTGAACCAGTCTCTACAGCAAACATAGGCTATTAACTGGATTGAAACAGACTCTACAGCAAACATAGGCTATTAACTGGACTGAAACAGACTCTACAGCAAACAGAGGCTATTAACTGGACTGAAACAGACTCTACAGAATACAAAGGCTATTAACTGGACTGAAACAGACTCTACAGAATACAAAGGCTATTAACTGGACTGAAACAGACTCTACAGCAAACAGAGGCTATTAACTGGACTAAAACAGACTCTACAGCAAAGGTAAGCTATTAACTGGCCTAAACAAGACTCTACAGCAAACATAGGCTATCAACTGGACTGAACCAGACTCTACAGCAAAGGTAGGCTATTAACTGAACTGAACTAGACTCTACAGCAAATAAAGGCTTTAACTGGCCTGAACCAGACCCTACAGCAAACATAGGCTATTAACTGGCCTGAACCAGACTCTACAGCAAAGGTAGGCTATTAACTGGACTGAACCAGACTCTACAGCAAACATAGGCTATTAACTGGACTGAACCAGACTCTACAACAAATGTAGGCTATTAACTGGATTGAACCAGCCTCTACAGCAAACGTAGGCTATTAACTGGACTGAACCAGACTCTACAGCAAACATAGGACATTAACTGGACTGAAACAGACTCTACAGCAAAGGTAGGTTATTAACTGGACTGAACCAGACTCTACAGCAAACATAGGCTATTAACTGGACTGAACTAGACTCTACAGCAAATATGGGCTTTTAACTGGACTGAACCAGACTCTACAGAAAACAAAGGCTATTAACTGGACTGAAACAGACTCTACAGCAAACATAGGCTATTAACTGGACTGAAACAGACTCTACAGCAAAGGTAGGTTATTAACTGGACTGAACCACACTCTACAACAAATGTACGCTATTAACTGGACTGAACTAGACTCTAAAGCAAATATGGGCTTTTAACTGGACTGAACCAGACTCTACAACAAATGTAGGCTATTAACTTGACTGAACCAGACTTTACAGCAAACATAGGCT